TCCGCGCCACAACCGCCTGTGTTGTGCCGATCTGTAGCATGCCAAGGGCACGTAACCTTTCATTTTGGGTAAGCCGACGCATATCAAAATTTGTTTTCTGGTCACTAAAACAATTAAACTGATGTTTCCACCCTGGAATTCAATGCCACAATGACTGTAACATTCAAAGTCAGAGTCGTGCAAATCTTGGGTTGGACCCCCATGATGATCCCAAGCATCACCTGCATTCCATGCGGTAGCTATTGGTGCGTTTGGGCGTCACATGTAACTGGAAATGTTTCTTCTGTTAGGTTCTATAGTGACTTTTTTCGTAGTCATTTGCATATTTTAGTATTATGCCCCCAAAATCAAATATCCCCTACTTTTTTTGAATAGTATATTAGCAGTACTGCCAGCGTTATGGTCCTTGGTCACTTTGAAATATTTTGTGGACGCTCTAGATGCTAAAGTTAATATTCGACTGACTTTAAATTTATACACAGTGTTTAAAGTAGCTAAGTCTCTAACTCAATATCATCTAAAGCCTTGGACTTTGAAAACACGAATTATTTGTCAATTTAAATCAACATTCATGTCGTGATCTTACCGGGAAAAGATGGGCTTCTGGCATCTAATATTTAAGACAAAATAAACATTTTACCATTGGTACACGAATGGTGTACCATAATGCGTTTCAGTGCCATTTGTAATAAGGGACTCGAAGAACGAGGCTAGACATATTCCATAAGTCATAGCAAACATTCACCCCATGTTCTTATCTGGAGAGAATGCACAATAAATACTATCGGTGTAGACTGGAATAACCAGACGCTAGATATTGCCATTCGATTAAGACTTCTGGCGTATATCGCCGAACATAACTGATTAGAAATTACAGTAAAAACAGAAACGATTGAATGTAAATCAGTTTATAAACATTCATATCACATGCGTTGTGACCCATTTGTGTCAATTTCTAGGTCCCAAATATTAGCTATTTAGCTCCTTTAAGGTCATTAGACGAAGCACCCTATTGATTTTCAACTATTTCCGATAATTACTGCCAGAGTTATGGCCCTTTACCTCTTTGAAAAATCGTGTAGAAGTGTAACACTATCTTACAGATAACCGAAGATCAGCATAATTGATAAGACCTTTATTGAGAACATGAAATAGACATAAATCGGAAGAAGCTCTATTCCATGTCTGACTTGCTGTCAGGGGAGATGGACAGGAGTAATAATCATATATGGTATTGTTTATTATCAAATTATGGTGTTTGTATTTACACTGCATATTTCTTTGGAAGTCATTGTCAGGTCAAGGTGTGATGCACTGACCACTAATACATTCTCTTTGAAGTTCTGTCTAGTGTTATACATGGATCATGTGTAGCTTGTAAAGAACATATTGAATAAACTAGATGTTTATTAAGATCGTGCTTTAACCGAAGTTATAGAGAGTTTAAACGTTAACTTCAGGTATAGATCACTTTGTCACAGAAGCTCTAGAGACTAAAGTAAATAACTGACTGACTTTAAATATATACAGTGTTTAAGGTCGTGAGATGAAGAAGCCTTTCAATTTTCAACGATTTTCAATGATTATGGAAATTGATATTAAATTTTGTAGCCTATGCTAAATGTTAGAATTGGGCAGAACTAGAGGCCAAATGACGTGTAATGAGATTTTAGTGTGTTGTAAATGTTTTCATCTCTGACATAAAAAAAAAAAATATGCGACGTCCTTTGTAGACACAGCTGTGGGCGTATTTTCGTTTCCTGGCAGCATATCTTTATTGTCATTGGTTATCTGAAGCCCCATAGTGTAAACAGACACCTTCGTTCACGGCGAAGCGAAATACAGAGAAACCGTAATGGTGTGTAGATGGAAGTAGCATACATGTGAAAAGTTCCGTATTCTATGAAATTGTGTGAAATGAAATAAAATGAAATGGAGTTTAACGTCCTACTGTTCTGCTCCTAACCTGGGCTAATGAAGACGGGCATACGCCATACAGTGTGCTATGAGGGACATTTTGCCCGGACAGCGGCACTACGGCCTACTCTTATCTCGAATTCCAACTGCCAAGGGATCTTTTACGTGCACGCCAATGTGTACACGGGACCTCGGTTTTTCGTCCCATCCGAACGACTAGACAGCTTTCCTTGTCAGCCCCTCCGTCCTGCATCACTGACAAGGGAGAACCACGCCGGAAAATCTGGATGAACTTTCTCGGCCAATGCAGGGATCGAACACCCGACCTCCAGGCTAGCGAGCCAGCGTCTTACCCAATGAAATTGTGTATCTTACTAATCGCCACTCTCCACACACGTCTCGCTATCCCTGGACTGCAAGGGAAGACAACTCTGTTTGGGAGATTGACTAATCGCCATTGAAAAACGCATTTTTATTTCCACTTTTGTTGATCACAAAGTTGATAAAATACAAACTTAATCCAATTACATTCCTATCGATCGAAAACAGCAGGGGCCTATTGAAATGATTCTGTGTTTGTCTTCCCGCCTGTCACCCAGACTACCCATATATTGTATTGCCAACCGCATGTTTTATCTGCGACCCGTTTTTTTTTGTATTTGCTATCCGTATATTTTATTTGTCACTCGTATATTTCTTTCCTATCAATACATTTTGCTTCCAACTACGTGTTTTATTTGCCACCCGTATATTTCAGTTCAATACCTATATATTCCATTTCAGACCGAGTGTTTTGCTAGCCTCCTACTGTATTTTTCATTTAATACCCATGTCATGCATACATTAAAGATACATTATGGGAGATTGTAATAGAGAGTTGGCCATTCTTGCTACAACAATTCAAAAATAGATGATGAAAGAAGAATATATTAAAAATTTAATTTAAATTACTTTATTCTGAACAAAGTTATCACCATTGTAATTTTTGACTAAAAATAGGAGTCAACTCTATCTTCACCGTCTCCGAGAAAGGCCGATCGTTTCATTGACAGGCATTAACTCCACCTACATAATCTCGATTATCAAGTAACGTTTACATGGCTGTGGTACCGTTAGCCTATTCGGTTTGAGACGGGATTGCAATTCAATTCGTATCACATTTATTTTTACTACAAATTAAAAATAAGACTTTTAATATACATGTATAGATAAGAAGCGAAAGTTTGGAAGGAATGGACCAAATTAATGAGACAACATTGTACATAATTACAGCCGACTTCTTGTTAGCCTGCGTGTACTCATGTACTGTAACTGGTAGCCTACGTGACTCCGTAGCAGACAAATAGGAAACAGTGATCCAATGGGACTGGAATTCAACTGGGGTGATGTTAGCTGCGATGTTTATCAATTTCCATAATTTTTCTGCGAACGCAACTAAACATAATATCAAGGTCGTATATCGAACTTTCAATCAAATTGACTGACATGCGGCTTCGCTCAACAGCGGCCTCGCTACGTACCCTCTATCATTTAGCCTCGATCATCACTGCCTTTTATGGAAAATTTCCGGGAGTATGACGTCAACGTAACGGTTAATTTATTTCCCACCCGTATACTTCATTTACTATCGATATGTTTTCTTTCCAAACTTATGTTTTATTTGTCAAACATATAATTCATTTACAATTCTACCCACTTTAATGATAATCGAGGCTAGGCCGAAAATTCAATCGCTAAAATACTCGGTTCATAGTGGATCAATTTGACTCAAATTTTCAGCAAATTCTCTTTACAGTATCTAGTTTTTAACTATTATAGTGAGAACTACCAGCTCTTTATCTAATCTCCCATAATGTATCTTTAATGATTAATACATATTAAATATTTTGTATTAATTTAGATTTTTATTTTAAATTTGGGATAATTTTACTAGGCTTGTGAGTAAGTGATTATAAATCCAGTATAGAAGTAGCTAAGGCTACCGGTCTATTTTATAGTTGTGGCATGGATTTAATAATTTGATCAATTTAGTTGTGGCAGTTGGAATTCGATCAGAGTAGGCCGTAGCGCCGCTGCACGTACAAAATTTCCGTCATAGCACACTGGATGGCATATGCCCGGCTACATTAGCCCAATCGGAGCAGAACAGTAGCACGTTAAACCTCATTTCGTTTATCTACGAAACACCACTGCAATACTTACTGGGCATGACGAACATATGTTTGTCAAGCAATGATTGGTTAACATATTTTGCTGTAACTAACCAGGTGAAATAAAAGCGACGTCAATTTCCTTATGAATCAGTTATATTTGTGGAATAAACTCTTTTCCAATTGGCACGATGTGTATTGTACTGACTCACTAACCAACAAATCGCGGGTTTAACCATTAGCAGCACGCCGAATATCATCTGACAACTGGAAATTGAATTCATTATATTTAAAACAAAGAGTAATTACAGCGGCATTTCATTTCGCATGCATCATGACATAGAACTCGATATTATTGTCGTTCCTTTTATTTGGATGGTGACTTCTTGACCTGCAATGCAGCATAATTATACTTCTGATTGACAGCCAATCCAATGTCTCGATAATAGAAACCATTCAAAAGATTTTGTGTATTGCAATTTTCGATTGGTAGGTTGCCCTGGGGTCGACCAACCCGCCCTATAAAGACCAAGATGTACATAGCCGAAACTGTTTGATACAAAACGAATTAGACTGCTTTGAACCTAAACTTTTAAAATGCAAAGATACGTCTGCCATATTTTGTCTGAAACAACACTTACGGATAGCGTGGAATTTAAGAACTGTTATCGACAGCCTATTGTCACAGTTCTTCAGTTGCACAGGACTCGAATAAAGATTTCAATAAGTTGCTTTTACATTGAAATAACCAGTTTTGTCTAAAAAGATCACTTACGGATAGCGTGGAATTTAGGAACTGTAAGTTTGTATTTTCTTTATCGACAGCTGGGTATCACAGATCTTCAGTTATATAGGAAACGGGTAAAGATTTCAATAATATTCTTTTACAATGAAAAAAAAGAAGTTTTATTTACTAAAATAGATCTGCTATATTGTTAGTCACTAGTAATCGCTGATTTACAATTTGTTTTGATTTTACTATAAAACAAACCAAATATGGGAAGTACTCCAAAAACACAGCATACTGTACCCATTATAATACAGGGTTGACTATACGAACCACTCATATCGAACAACAAACCTGCAAACAAATTTAAATTTTGTTATGATTTATTCCAGTGACGTAAAGTATTTCCTGGTAGAGCGAGAGAGAGAGAGAGAAATGGGGTTTAACGTCCACTCGACACAAACTAGGTCATTTCGGGACTAACATATGGTTTAATTTTATTTCAATAATTCGCTTGCGCGTAGGGGTCTTTAGCAGTGGGAGGAAACCGGAGGACCCGGAGAAAACCCACGAGGTTGGACAGGCGACCCTAATCCTTGCCACGTACAACCGGGGATTCGAAACCACGCCAGTTGACTCAATGACAGACTTTATGGTACAGCGCGCACGTGCTAACCATTCAGCCATCCAACCCCCCTTCCTGGTAGAGCAGGTGCGGCCATGAACGATTGATTGCAGTCACACACGATATAGGATTCTAAACATTTATTAAAGAAACACCCCGTTAATGAAAACGGTAAATCGACTTTTTGATTCCGGCTCGGCACAAAAGAAAATGTGACCTATCGGAATCCCACACCACCACCGCCAGAGGCGGATTATCGTATAATATATGCAGCGTAGGCAGCTGGTACATTCCAGCGAAAAATAGGCCCAAAAAAGAAATTACCATCGTAAACGAAAATGAAATACGACGGAAATCCGATGTATGCGTTCCAGATGAGCTAATTGACTTTCGCTTTCAATTCGGTTTGGGCGGTTTTCTCTCCAAAAATTATCTTTCTTTCATTAGTTGCAGGTTGCTTTTCATGCCTTGTTCAATGGTTGTATGAGATGCTGATAATGGTTGACGGCGCACAGCCTAATGTAGAAGTTGCTCTCAAAATTTATCTCAGTATGATGGTTTCGAATATTTCCGCCGAAAGGTCCTTTTCAAGTCTACAATTTATGAAACGCCCCACCAGGAGTTCCATAGGGCGAATGGGACAGATTACTTTCCATAATGTACATATTTATCCAACTTTCCGATGCGAAAAGAATATTCGAGGATACTCGATGAGTTCTGGTAGTTGGTAATGAATGATTAAGGTAAACAGGATTGTACAAATAGGATATGATGTGTCCGAGACTTACCATAAATAACACCGCCAATGGCACATGCTGCACCATTCAAAGTAGAGCACAAACCAAGTGCAAGTGAAAAGGTCTGGGGACCCACCAGATCCAGGATAACAACGCCATATATACCAGTCTGTCCACCATAATTGAAGCCAAGGACGACAATAATACCGAGGATTCTAGCGTATTGCGTGACAAAGCCAAGACAAATCAGGGATCCCCCAGATAGAATCGCACCAATCATCAGTAAGATTCGACTATTTACAAACGACAACAAATTCAGAAACCCGAATGCAAGTCGACCACACGTGCTGATAATTGTCAGTAGGAATATAAAAAAGACGCCATTTTGGTTTTTGTTGTTAGCATAGTCAGCGATTATAAAAAGAAAACCATTTGCCGCGGAAAAGGCGGTAAGTGCACATAATGCAACTGTAATAAATTCAGGTCGACACATCAGCTTCATTTTTTCTTTAACGGTTACCACTGCCTTTTCAACACGATGACCACGGCTAGCTGTCACCTGATCCATAAATGCCGTCATCAAAAATCCGAACACCATAGGCTGCAATGAGAGACCAGCTATGACATAGAAAGCGCCTCTCCATCCATACTTGTCGATAAGGAATTGGAAAAAGTAAGGTAAAATGCTGCTACCACATCCTCCACCGGCAGTGATCAACACCATAGCAGCACTGACCGATCTCTTGCACGCCATAGATACAACTACAATACTTCCTATTTGGGCTCCACTTAATCCAAATCCTTAAAATATAAGAAAAATATTCATTCCAATAACCCTGCTAGTGTTTCATTTTCTATTGTACTTTTTGTGTTCATTTGGTAATATCTATGGTTAAATTGATTAGGGCAAAATAGCATGCGTAGATGACAACTAGCTGGCTGCCCCCTAACTTTCGGACAATCTGACTTTTCGGACAAACGGGTAAAGTGAAAACAAAAATTATTATTTCACCTAGTTGGCAAAATAAAGTGGCCGAAATCTAATAAAACGCTAATTTTACTTTTCTTTTAATTAAATACCACGATTTTGTACTGAATTTACTATAGATTAAGACATTTTGTCTGGAACCACTCTACTTTGTGGAGCCACTCTTGTTCGACATTTTTCGGGCATCGATTATTATTTGTGAATGCAACTGCAAGTCTGATTAGATGGTTGGAATTCAGGTCGGCATAGAATGGGATGTCGGTTACAAACCGATTGGAAAGTTTGAAGCTGCTTAATTTTCTCGTGGAGCGCGAGTCCCCCATACACCGCGACGATTGATTGGTTGTTTGGGATTTGGCATTCACGGGCTGGAAGAAAATGTGTTTTCGGCAGTTAAATGTTCAAACGGGACCATTTTATGTATAAATTTATCTGATAATTCTAGATTTATTTTATTTTTACACATGTGACGGCGTTAAAGAGCATAAAAGATCTGACTATTCATTTTAATCGTGCAAACCAGTGAGATGTTACATAGAAATTAATACGCTAAGTTCCCAATATCACGATTCGCGCCAGGAAAACGCGTTTGCCGAGGTCAAATATACCAAATTTTCTGTTGGGGGGGGGGGGGGGGTCCTATACGGTGGCTCCGCGGAAATTTTTTCGTTCGGGCATTTCAGCTTCTGCCCCCCTAACATTCATCGAGCCCGTACGCCTATGTACGTACATATCCTGTTACGGTATATCTGTAATCATTGGCGTAATGAAATGGTAAAAGCCTATGGTATTGTAATTATACATTTACTTGTTTATATCTGGACTTCGATTTGTCTGGAATGCCACAGGGCGGACCAGTGCGCCCTAGCGTACACTTTGAGAACCACTGCTGATGGGGTTGAAGTGGGACAATTTAGGCTGAAATGATCGAAACTATAGCAGATCCAATCTTGGCGACCGTCACCAAGACTGCATCCTTATACTTATCACAGCAATTTAAAAACTCAATTTACAGAAAGTCCGTACAAAACGTACATGATGTGGTTAATATACACATCAGAAGACCATATAATTTTATCGCCGGGATTTACCTGGTAAAATAGCTACGCTGAGTAATAAAGTGGTTGTACTTGGACAGAATATGGCCCCCAGAAATCCACAACAAGACATAAGTGAACCAACAAAGATGATTAGACGTACCCCATATCTGTCTATTGATATACCAATTAATATTCCTGAAATATCCCCAATAAAATCCATCAGCTATTGAAGTCCACATTTAATAAAATGAAATTCTATTAATGGACAAAACATATTTCAATTTAATGTCAAATCTGCTGGTGAGTCTTTGGAACTGGATATACAATTGATCTCATATAATATTATATTAGCGTCAAGAACATTGTATAGGGGCTATATAGATGTGCTCAACCAGTATATCACCGGACAAGACCGATCTTAAATACCATCCAGAGTTTATTGCTCACCTGCACCAAACGTTACGCCTACAAGAACTGACTGAATCATAGCAGTCTTAGCTCGTCCATCGTTAAATTCATCCAGCCATTCGGGTAGAAATGTTCCCATTGAGAACGCTATTCCCATGGAGAAAAAGCAATTCCAGAATCCACAGAAGACAACAACACACGCGCATAACTTCCTCTGCCATTTTGGTTCACTGGGGAACTTGAACGCGGAGTAAATGCTGAATCTTATGCTTCTCCTTGGTAATTTGCTATAAGAAATCAAATTTTAATTTTAGGCCAATGCTACTCTTTGTGGTTTCTGAGAGTAGAAGTATATGCTGTATCATAACTTTAATGTGAGAAATAATAATGATATATTAAACATTTATATATTATATAATTATGTGGCAATGCACATAAAAACTTACATAAAATATTTTAATGCAAACATAAGTACATACGAAATATCAATCACCGTATCTATGCTATCCTCGTCCGAAATAAAACCTGAATTGTCCGTTCCTGATTGATCTCCATTTGGTTGGATATTTTCATTCATTACTGATACCCGCCTCTTCTTCCTTGTTTTTGTCTTAGTAAAAGGATTTTCATCAGACATCTGATCGGAATTTCCCAACCCGGTATAATACGTTGAGCAATCTTTGGGCTGATCATCAGCACCCGGTCCACTTATCTGGCCACCAGAAAATGAGTCCTCGGTATCCTCAGTACCAGTATCTTCGAATGGAGGATCAGTAGCAATGGCATCACTTTCCGCATCACGGTAGCCGTAATTTAATACCCCAGTATACTTTGTATCCGTCGGTTGTATTAGTAACGTTATACTCCTTGAGTGTATATTCTGAACGGTTTGCAACAGAACTACTTCATTTGATAGGTTTTCAGATTCATTAGGCGCAATCAAGCTGGTATCTTGTTGTTTATGTTTAACATTGTTATCCAGTTTAGCATCTCTCCTTTCTACGTTTTTTTCGATGTCATTTTTAAAAGCTTTATTGTTATCGATGCCATTGATAGCTTCTTCTTTAGTAATGTTACCAATGCAATTCCCAATAATTTCAACAGCATTTGCGTTATCGTCAATGCTGGTGGGTTTTTCATCATTTTTAGTGTCATTAGATGAAACACTGGTAGGAAACACATCATTTTCATCACCACTTAATGAAATGGCATTACTGTTGTTATTTTTAATTTCATTGCTAGTAAACTCATTCATTACATCGTCACCCATTGGTACCTTTTCAATTTCAACACAATTTGAAGCTGTGACATCATCTTTCGTTGGTACATTTTCCATTTTAACATCATTGGCAGTACTTTCAAACTCGTTTATACCATCCAGAGTTTGTAGAACTTGTTCAATTGTAGCTTCTTCGGTTTGAATTTTCATGATGCTTAGTTTACTGGTAGGAATTCCATCTGAACCCACATCAATGGCGGAACATTCTTGTAACTGGTTTCCACTGGAGTGAACATTGCTATTTCCATAAATAGGAATTCCACGAATTCCATTTCTAATCTCAATTTTATCGTCTTTGCTTTTGACATCTACTGGACCTTTTATAATATTTGATGGTGTATATTTTGCTTTTTTCTTAAATTCAAAAACACATATTTGATTTGCCATTTTTACTTCACAATCAATTATCTAACAGCGTTCCTATTTAAACAAATTAAAAGATTTTTATTTCGATTTTAAATCATTACTTCATTATTTTACGTATCCTCAAATCTATGAATTATTCATAGCCGTAGAACCCGCTCCCATCTCTATCTTTTTACAAAATCTTGTTTGAAACCATATTCATAAGTTATTTATGTCAGTGTCTATAATATACCGCATTTCACAGATATCATCCTTCGGCAGTATGATTCACAACTGGCGTAGCATTTTCCCCCAAGTAGTAGAATACTATGAAGCTTCAGAACTCCGGCTTTTGCAACAAGGTCTTCCAACCCTTTATTAAATTTCACCATGTTACCTTTATCTGTCGCTACATACATTTGAATATATTATCTTGATTTTTTTTAAAAAATTTAAAGGTGTGTACGTAATATTAATTAAATTGACATTTTCGTGGTTTCATTTCACTAATAAAGGTTCGTATAAAGGTTGGCTATGTATAGAGTTGCGGTAATTAGTTTATGCAGGATTTTTGACAGGAGTGCACAATATATTTATATTTCTTGAAATTAATATTAAAGTGGTAATAGGGTGCAATTGCCCGTACCCAAATGGGGTGCGAGCGGTTGGCAAGAATTCGGGAGTGGGTAGTGGGGGTCACAAACCATGTTAGCACCGATTTCAGCAAAGTGATCAGCAGTAAATTTTCCACACAACTGAAAGGGTTACAGAGAGCCGAAGGAGCAGAACTCACCGAGCACGGAACCCCAAGAAAATTTGGAAAATTTGACGGCCGCAAACGCATTTTCCTGCGATTCAAGTCCGTGAATACAGCAACTTCAATCCAAACAAACAATCAATCGTCGAGGGGAACAGGGGCTTCATTAAACATACATTATGAAGAGCTAAATCTGCCTATTGCAAGTCTTTATTTAGGCCACAGATGTAATATAAATTATTAATTAGGCCTTTATTTACACAAGCTCAAAATCAACTCTGTAGACCCACGGATGGCATGGATACAGTTTGGATTTAAACAGTCGTCCATTTAAAATTAAATCAATAAATGGCGGACGAAGCTAACGTTTACCGTTAGTCGCTGATGTCACTACCGGAAACTGGTGATGAAAGCCCTGCCAAGTGGGGCTACCATAGCCATTGAGCATGTTACTTGATAATCGAGAATATGTTGGTGGAGTTATCGTCTGTCAATCAAACGATCGCCAATTCTCATAGACCGTGCAGACACAATTGGTGCCCATTTCTAGCCCAAACAGTGACAATTCCGTTCAGAACAAAGTAATTTGACTGAAATTTTCAACATTTTCTTTTTGTATCATATATTTTTGAATCATTGTAGCAAGAATGGCGAACTCTTTATAAAACTCTTAACTTACTAATGTATCTTTAATATTCTCAATGGGCTTCAGCCGTGTGGTAATATTACTTTTTTTATTTAAATGAGATAACCCATTGTTGTTATCACAAAATGTCAAGTTTAAATAGAATGCTTTGTTTTAAGATTATTGATATAATGTAAATTTAATCATTTTGTCTTTTGGGCAAAAGAGCCTGTTTTCGACACAGATGTACGTATGCCATCCCCATAATGCGCCGATTAGCAGCAAAGTCACCCGTGCCAGCTAAAGAACTGGATATTCGTCCATGCTATATTTTGTTCTTTTAGTATATTTATTCAGTGCGTTAGATTTGTTACCTTTTAAATGATATTGAATTCTTTTTCAATATTAAACGATCATCACAATAGGATGGGAAGAAGAAATTTTGAACAACCTTCTGAATATTTCCTTTAAAGGGAATTGAACAGTCTCAAAAATAAAAGTCCGAGTACGTATGAAATTTAAGCTCCAAAATATAGAGGAATGGTGTATTAAACAGAAAATCTAAGTCTTTTTATTATATACATCAGAAGGTATTTTTTTTTAAATACATCAGAAGGTATTTTTTTTAAAATACAATCATCTTTGATAGTATATATTATATGATTTATCACCAAATAGGAAAAAAAATAAAGAAGATTCAAAAATTTGAAAAATAGGAAAAAAAAAAAAAGAAACAAAATCAAAGATTTTGAAAAAATCATATAGGCGCACCGTAAGAAGGGCGTCCCTGTTCTCATGTACCTGTGATGCATATTAGCAATTATTATGATTAAAGGTTGATTGATTTTTTTTAAAATTTGGGATAATTTTACTATTCTTGTGGGTTAGTGATTAATTTGTTTCTATATATAAAGCCAGTATAGAAGATGTTCAGGCTACTACAGTCCATTTTATGGTTGAAGCATGGATTTACTAAATACTCATAATACGACAGCCAGTGTTTGACCGTCTTCCTTAGATTTCTTAAATTCATTTATCTACTTAGGAGCCACGGTAGCTAAAAGATTCCTTGGCAATTGGAATTCGATACAAGTCTTACAGTTGGCCGTAGCGCCACTGTCCGCGCAAAATTTCCCTCATAGTACACTATATGGCGTATGCTCGCCTTCATTTATCTACGAAAAGCCAACGCAATCTTAGAAAAATAACGCTTTAAACCCCCTGCTCATTATATTAAAAAAAGGAGTGTTTTTCGAAATCGCAATTACAGCTGCATTATGCAGTTAGACCCCAGTTGGTGGAGAACAATGGGATGTTAAACCCCATTTCATTTCCCATGCATCATGACCTGGAACTACATAATAATTATGTTCCGTTTATTTGGATGGTGAATCTAGTAACATCTAAAGTAACAATTAATGTTAATGTTGAAGAAAAGTGGCTTCTTGACCTGCAATGCAGCGTAATTATACTTCTAATTGACAGCCAATCCAATGTCTCGATAATAGAAGCCATTCAAAAAAATTTGTGTATTGCAATTTTCGATTGTTAGGTTGCCCTGGCGTCGACCAATCCGCCCTATACAGACCAAGATGTACACAGCCGAAACTGTTTGATACAAAACAAATTGGACTGCTTTGAACCTAAACTTTTAAAATGCAAACTATACTTCTTCCATATTTTGTGTGAAAAAACATTTACGGATAGCGTGGAATTTAGGAACTGTAAGTTTGTTATTTTCGTTTCTGTTATCGACAGTTGGGTATCACAGATCTCCAGTTGCACAGGACACGGGTAAAGATTTCAATAATATGCTTTTACAATGAAGTAACCAGTTGTATTCACTAAAATATATATGTGATCTGTTATATATTATTAATCACTAGATATCGGTGATTTACAATTTGTTTTTATTTTACTATAGAACAAGCCCAATATGGAAAGTACTCCAAAAACACAGCATACTGTACCCATTATAATACAGGGTTGACTATACGAACCACTCATATCGAACAACAAACCTGCAAACAAATTAAAAGATTTTATGTTAATAATGTTATCATGATTATATCAGTGACGTAAATCAGTTCCTGGAAATAAATGGAATGGAAATAAATCGACATGTTCCGTTCCGGCAAAACAACCGTATGGTTTCTAGCGATCGTCTTCCATGTGCGGTCGTGAACGATTGATTGCAGTCACACACGATATAGGATTCTAAACATTTATTAAATAAATACCCCGTTAATGAGAACGGTAAATCGACTTTTCGATTCCGGCTCGGCGCAAAAGTAAACTTGCCCTATTGGAATCCCACACACCACCACCACTAGTGGCGAATTACCGAATAGGCAGTATAGGCACCTGGTACCGCCCAAGCAAAAATAGGCCCAAAAAAGATTTGAGGACCGTAATCATTTTCAAAACGGGTTTGGCGGTTTTCTCCCCCCCAAAATTGTCTTTCTTTCATTACTTACAGGTTGCTCTTTATGCCTTGTTCAGTGTATGTATGAGACGCTCACAATGGTGCACAAAAACGGGTTTACGACTGCACAGCCTAATGTAGAACTTGTAGAAGTTGCTCTTAAAATTTATGATGGTTTCCAATATTTCAGCCAAAAGGTCATTTTCAAGTCTAAATGTACGAAACGCCTAACCAGGAGTTCAATAGGGCAAATGGGACGAAATACTTTCCATAATGTATATATTCAGCCAACCTTCCGCTGCGAGATGAATATTTGAGGATATTCGATGAGTTCTGGTAGCTGGTAATGAATGATCTAGGTGTACAAATAGGATGTGATATGTCCGAGACTTACCATAAATAACACCACCAATGGCACTTGCTGTACCATTCAAAGTAGAACACAAACCAAGGGCAAGTGAAAAGGCCTGGGGACCCACCAGATCCAGGATAACAACACCATATATACCAATCTGTCCACCATAATTGAAGCCAAGGACGACAACAAAACCAAGAATTGTCGCGTATTGCGTGATAAAGCCAAGACAAATCAGGGATCCCCCAGATAGAATCGCAGCAATCGTCAGTAAGATTCGACTATTTACAAATGACAACAGATTCAGAAACCCGAATGCAAGTCGACCACATGTGCTGATAATTGTTAGTAGGAATAGAAAAAAGACGCCATTTTGGTTTATGTTGTTAGCATAGTCAACGATTATAAAAAGAAAACCATTTGCCGCAGAAAAGGCAGTAAGTGCACATAATGCAGCTATAATAAATTCAGGTCGACACACCAGCTTCATTTTTTCTTTAAGGGTTACCACTGCCTTTTCAACACGATGACCACGGCTAGCTGTCACTTGATCCATAAATGCCGTCATCAAAAATCCGAACACCAAAGGCTGCAATGAAAGACCAGCTATTACGAAGAAAGCGCCTCTCCATCCATAATTGTCGATAAGGAATTGGAAAAAGTAAGGTAAAATGCTGCTACCTAATCCTCCACCGGCAGTGATCAACCCAATAGCGACACTGACCGATCTCTTGCACGCTATAGAAACAGCTACAATACTTCCCAACTGGGCTCCACTTAATCCAAATCCTTAAAATATAAGAAAAATCATTTATTCCAAGAACCCAGATAGCTATAAGTACCAACGTGTCTGCGTACTGCTGGCGGTTCATTTTGTTAAAAGTTCACATTTTCTATCGTACTTTTTGTGTTTATTTGGTAATGGCTATGTTTAAAATGGAGGGAAATCTTGTCCAGACTAAACATATCTCCACAGACTACAATAATTTTATTAATCTGAGCAAAATAGCATGCATATATGACAACTAACTGACTACGCAATGGCCTGCGGTGAATGCTAACTCAATCCACCTGTTAACAATGGATTCTGCATATTTCAAATACAAGATGTCTGCCATTTTTTCTCTCATTAGACTATACGAAAATCTTCTTAGGAACTTTGACTTTTGACATTGTATATACAGTCAGTACCATTTTGTCAAGACTGTGGGTGTTAAACTATAACACATACTTATGGAAGAACAATTACTGATTTATTTGGGCGACGTTTCGAAGAGTATTCTCTCAACGTTTTCAAGTGTTATAGTTTATTGCTCTATCCAGTTACTAAATGCCTCTAAAAGATCACTGTAGGTGTTGGAAGTAAGAAAATATAGACTGGAATGATCGAGACTATAGCTGATACAGTCTTGGCGACCGTCACCAAGACTGCAGCCTAAAACACATCCCAACAATTTGAATATTTAATTTACATAAAATCCGTACAGAACGTACATAATGTGATTTATACACACATCAGAAGACGCCGCATTATCTTATCGCCGGAACTTACCTGGTAAAATAGCCACGCTGAGTAACAAAGTGGTTGTACTTGGACAAAATATGCCACCCAGAAATCCACAACAAGACATAAGTGAACCAACAAAGATGGTTAGACGTACCCCATATCTGTCTATTGATATACCAATTAATATTCCTGAAATATCCCCAATAAAATCCATCAGCTATTAAAGTCCTAAGTCCACAAATTCTGTTAATGGACAAACCATATTTCAAGTGTTTATTTAGTTCAAATCTATTTGTTAGGTTGCTGGGTTTTGTAACAAAATAAAAAAAAAACAACAGTAACTGGTGAGACTATGGAATTGAATATACAATTGATCTCATATATATCAACTCCCTTTTTAATTTGTCCTTAGCATGTTGTGTCAAACCAGAAAGTATCCAAATATTATGGTATGATATATCCGGTAAAACATCATAATAGTAGAGAGAACTATCTGTACAATTGAAAGTTCAAGTAAGCTCTTCTTTGCGAGAGCATCGTATGCCTACATTATTTCTTGTGTATTTCACACATTCATTTATAAGTTTAGTTTAGTTTAGTTTAGCACGAGCGTGCTGTATCATACGGCCTGTCATCGAGTCAACAGGCGTGGTTTCGAATCCCCGGTTGTATGTGACAAGGAGTTGGGTCGCCTGTCCAATCTCGTGGGTTTTCTCCGGGTCCTCAGGTTTCCTCCCACTGCTAAAGACCCCTACGCGCAAGCAAATTATTGAAATAAAATTAAACCATATGCTAGTCCCGAAATGACCTAGTTTGTATCGAGTGGAAGTTAAACCCCATTTCTCTCTCTCTCTCTCTCACAGAACAAACGGTATTAGTGTCAAAAACATTGCACAGGGGCTATATATATGGATGTGCTCAACCAGTATATGACCGAACAAGCCCGATGGATATACATTTGATCTCATATAATATTATATTAGCGTCAAGAACATTGTACAGGTGCTATATAGACCGATGTTAAATACCACCCAGATTTTACTGCTCACCTGCACCAAACGTTACGCCTACAAGAACTGACTGAATCATAGCAGTCTTAGCTCGCCCATCGTTAAATTCATCCAGCCATTCGGGTAGAAATGTTCCCATTGAGAACGCTATTCCCAAAGAGAAAAAGCAATTCCAGAATCCACAGAAGACAATTACACACGCACTTAACTTCCTCTGCCATTTTGGTTCACTAGGGAACTTGAACGCGGAGTAAATGCTGAATCTAATGCTTCTCCTTGGTAATTTGCTATAAGAAATCAAATTTCAATTTTAGACCAATATTACGCTTTCTGTATATGTATATGCTGTATCATAACTTTAATGTAAGAAATAATAATGGTCTTATTAAACATATATATAACTATGGGGCAATGCGCATAAAAACTTATATAAAATATTTTAATGCAAACACAAGTACTCACGAAATATCAATCACCGTATCTATGCTATCATCGTCCGATATGAAACCTAAATTGTCCGTCCCAGATTGATTTCCATTTGGTTGCATATTTTCATTCACTACAGATACTCGCTTCTTCTTCCTTGTGTTTTTCTTATTAAAAGGATTTTCATCAGATACATGATCGGAATCTCCCAGCCTTTCAAACCGGGAATAATACGTTGAGCAATCTATGGGCTGTCCATTAGCACACGGTCCACTAACCTGGTCACCAGAAAATGAGTCGACGGTATCCTCAGTACCAGTATCTCCGAATTTAGCACCAGTAGCATAGGCATAATTATCACTTTCGTCATCACGGTAGCCGCTATTTAATACCCCGGTATTTTTGGTCTCTGTCGTTTGTATTAGTAACATTATACTCCTTGAGTGGATATTCTGAACGGTTTGCAACAAATCTGTGCTTTTCATAACTACCTCATGTGATAGGTTACCAGATTCATTAGGCTCAATCAATCTGGTATCTTGGTGTTTAACCGTGTTATCCATTTTAGCATCTCCACTTTCTAAGTATGTTTCGACGGAATTTTTAAAAGCTTCATTGTTTTCAAGATCACTGGAAAGAAGGTTGTTGACTGCCACGTTATCCATCTGAACATCAGGGGTTGAGATTTCATTATTCTTAATTTCAATGCTAATAACCGCATTAATTGCATCGTCATCCATTGGTACTTTTTCCATTTCAACGCAATTTGAAGCTGAGACATCATTTTTCGTTGGAACATTCTCAATTTTAACCTCATTGGCAGCACTTTCAAAATCGTTTATACCATCCAGAGTGTGTAGAACTTGTTCAATTGTAGCTTCTTCGGGTTGAATTTCGACCATGCTTAGTTTACTGGTAGGAATTCCAACCGAACCAACATCAATGGAAGGAAATTCTTGTAACGGGCTTCCACTGTGGTGAACATTGCTATTTGCATAAATAGGAATTCCATCAATTCCATTTCTTATTTCAATTTTATCTTCTTTGCTTTTGACATTTTCTGGTGCACATTTAGCTTTTTTCTTAAATTCAAAAACACATTTTGGATTTGCCATATTTACTTCAAAATCTATTATCGGCTAGCGTTCCTTTTTAAACAAATTAAGCCTTTTTATTTCGATTTTATCACCTGATTTGAAATCTTTTCCATATCCTCGAATTTATAAATCTTTAAAAATGAATTATTTATAGCCGTAGAACCTGCTCCCTGCTTTATCTTTTTACAGGATCTTGTTTAAAACCAAGTTCATAAGTAACCAATGTCACTGTCTATAATATATTCCATTTCACAGATATCACCCTTCGGCAGCATGTATCACAACCGGTATAGCATTTTCCAACGTAGTAAGGTCCTCTAACCCTTTATTAAATTTCACAATGCTATCTTTATCTTTCGTTACGTACATTTGAATATATTACCCTCCAACTTTAAAAAAAAGATTTAAACGTAATATTAATTAAATTGACATTTTCGTGGTTTCATTTCACCAATATGGGTGCTATGTATAGAGTTGCGGTAATTGGTTTATGCAGGAGTTTTGAAAGGGGTGCACAATATATTTATATTTCTTGAATTGATATTAAAGTCCCCACTCCAGTTGTTGATACATAGACGAGATATACTTTCTAATTGTACTCTGCTGGGTCCATGCTAATGCTATTGCCCTTACCCAGGTGGGGACGACAGGTTGGCAGAAATCCAGGAGTGAGTTGTGGGGGGTGGGGTCACAAACCATGTTAGCACCAGTATTTCAATGTGTTTACCATGGGCCTTGTGACCTATTCAAGACAGTGGTGCAAGGTTGTGGTCGTGTGCTTGTTTCAGACAAACCGTCAACAACAACACCACACTGATCAGCAGTGAACATTTGCTAAGACTTTCGTAATTCTCTGTGAAACAGATTGCAAAAACACCAAGAGCACACCACACCGATTTCAACAAAGTGATCAGCGGTAAATATTCGCCATGACTGAAAGGGTTACAGACGGCAGCGCCGGTCTTCTGTGAGAGTGGAAGGAGTGGAGCTTACCGTGTAGGGAACCCCCAAGACAATTTTTGAAAATTGGACGGCCGCAAACGCGTTTTCCTGCTACTCCAGCCCGTGAATACAGCAACTTCAATGTGGTCAGCCTACCTTAGGTGTGAATCCCAAACAACCAATCAATTGTCGAGGGGAATGGGGGCCTCGCCCTCCCCGAGAAAATTTAGACATTTTTGAATATCTAACCGACACAAATTCGTTTTTCAGCTATTCTAGCAAATCTAAAGTCGTCCAATGGTTTTGAAACCGAAATCCCACTTCAGACTTGAATTCCAACCATCCAATCAGACTGTAGCAGCTGCATTCACAAGTAATAGTCGATACCCGAAAAATGTTGCACAAAGCTGAGTGGCGCCAGACAAGATGTTTTAATCCATTCTCAATTCAGTACAAATTCGTTGTATTCAATTAAAAGAAAAGTAAAATTAGTGTTTTATTAGATTTTGGGCACTTTCTTTTGCCAACTATACTCTTCAAAAAAAAGTAGGGGATATTGAAATGCAAATACCTATGCAGGTTGCGATATGATAAATAGTCATGGACATTTGACATGCTTTGAGAGTATGTTCACAGATGAAGAACGTATCGCCCCAACAGAACCACTGAGCTGCACATGCGACACGCAATAGCGACATACACGTGGGAGGGGTTCATTGTCAAATTTGACACTTCAAGGAAGGGTTGATGGTTTATCTATCCATGTTTGCTTTCTTATCGGTTAATATTTACTGTTTAGCGTATCAACGTCAACCGACAACACTGCAAGAATTGGCCGTGGCACTGCAAGAGGAGTGGGTCAGATTGCCCCAAATCGTGATTGGACGGTTGATTAGGAGCAAGACAAAAATCAAAAACGTCCATATTCACTTTTGACGGTGTATCTCTTTGTGAGTGAAATGGGGCCGTAAGATAAGCCGCCCATATAAACTGTTTATGTTCATGTGTAGGCAATTGACCTGTTATTAACATACCCTGGTCACCTCTAATAAAAAAGCCGTGCATTTCCACAGTTTTGTATTGTTTCTGAACATCCCCTACTTTTTTTGAAGTGTATATTTGAAATAATAATTTTTGTTTTCACTTTACACGTCTGCCCGAAATGTCAGTTTTCCAGAAAGTTAGGAGGAAGCTGCGTATTCCTTTTGACGCTATCGTCACCGTCAGGCTATCCAGGCCCTGGCGGGTTTTTTGTGCCTACTCCAAACCTGTACAACGCTACAAAAATAATGGTGACGAGCGCGACCAGTGATCATGCACGCCGTTATCGCCCCACTTCCACCCAGACGCTCCTTCGCCGAGATGCTTGTCCCAGGACCTGGGTGTATCTTGGCGGGCCCTGATATTTCTAGCTTCGTCTGCCATGGTATGTCGTGCACTAGAGCATTTCTCATTGCTTTTACAAAACTAAATATTATGCCAGCCCCCAAGAAATGCTTAAACAATCAATAGCAGTTTTTAAATGCATGCATTTGGAAATAGATTATATCAACACCGATGGTTCGTCAGCGATAGATTGTTTGCCAGTAGCGTCCATATCACCGACAAAACGTTGGGGACAATGATGATTATTTGTTGTTGATGGGGAATCGCCATTACATTATCAGTATTACTAAACTGAATCTATGTTATATGTCTCTTAATGTTAATTTCAGTTGTGGGCTGTGTCCTGAATATGACTGTACCTTATTAGCAATCGGCATTAATATTCTTAATGGGTTTAAACCGTGTGGTAATATTAGGTTTTTTTTATAAATAGGAGAACAGATTCTTATCACAAAACGTCATGTCAAGTTTAAATAGTAGGCTTTGTTTTAAGACCATTGATATATAATTTAATCATTTTGTCTTGTGTACAAAAGAGCCTGTTTTTGACACAGATACCCGTATTCCAGTCCCAATAATGCGTCCATTAGTAGCAATGTCACCTGTGCTAGCTAGAGAACTGGAGTTTATCCATTCAAATTCTATATTTTGTTTATTTAAAAACTAGTGTATTTAATTCAGTATGTAATATCTGTTACCTTTAAAAATGATATTGAATTCTTTTTCAATAATAATAGATCAATATAATAAGATGGGAAGAAATTTTGAATAAAATTCTGAATATTTCCTTGTAAGATATAGAATCTAATTACACGTCAGATACAATCGGACTATTATTTTTTCTTGAACAGATTATCGTCTGATCCTTTCCATCTTTAGAAGAAATAAGCTGATAATTATAACGGAAGTAAGATTAATTTATGACGTAAATAAGGTCAATGTATGGTTGTCTAAAATTTGTGTTTGCGAAATAGAACAATATTCAACCCTAATATTCGCGTTTCGTAATTTGGGAATTAGTTAAATAGCAGCAGGTAGCTACAATATTGTTGGGGTAATACTGTGTTTGCCGCTACAATTGATAAAGTCTAAAAGGCTTTGCGCAAGTAAAAATAGTCCAAACGCATAATTCTGAATATGTATCATTACAGTTTGTATTGAAATAAGTAATTATATCTCAAATAGTGAAGACTGGACCACTTAAATAGTTACCGAACAATTTTTCTTTGTGGTATTGGGTTCTACATTTTCGAAGCGATATTTCTTATGAATGTAATATGAATGTATATAAACTTGACTTACATTCAATCGTTTAGGTTTTTACTCAGTTATGTTCGACGAAATACGCTAGAAGTCTCAATCGAATGGCAATCTTTAGCGTCTGGTTATTCCAGTCTACACCGATAGTATTTATTACGCATGCTCTCCAGATAAGAATATGCCGCCACCGTTTGACATGACTTGTGGAATATGTCAAACCTCGTTCTTCGAATCCCGTGTTACAAATGGCGCCAATCTGGCCTAAATAATCTGTCAAACCAGGATGTTGCCACCATGAACAGTTGTGGCAGTACAAGCTGACCTGAATTCCGGAAAAAATACATGTCTTAAACTTCATTCTAGTAACAATCCCAGCTAGACCTATTTAAAGAAAAACAGTCGCTATTAAAAAGTTACAAACCCCAGTCAATCGTATTAATTCAGAAATGCCGCGATTTGAATGTGACCTTCATATTTTCAAACCTAAATTAGAATATCTCGGTCATCCAATAGAACTTCGGTCTTGTATTCCACCCAAAATTAAAACACTGTTTGATCATTTCCTGCTGGGGTGGGAGAATCACGGTCTTAAACACTAACAGTAACATTGTAATTATTTTATCAACCATATACTATAGTATATAAAATATTATGAAATATTAACAATTTTATATTTGCTCCTTATTTGGGCACTCTCACGTAATCAATCTTAATAGATCATGTAGGTCACTGACCTGCTGATTTCCAAATTACTATAAGCGCCATTCAGATATATTTTTCAAGATTGTTTACTTATTCCTTACTCATATCTCCGGCATCTCATAAAATAAAACGCTGTTTTAATTATAGATGTACAGTTTAATCATTTCCCCATTGGTATTTAAGAAAGAAATCTGTGATTGGACAATCATAGATGGGGACTTGCGAGGCACCCTTATAATCCCACCTGCAGCAACCACGTTTTTACAAAATAGAACTTACACTTCCGTAAAACAAATCACATATTCCGCAATTTCCAAGGTAGCAGACTTTGGTCGTTAGGAAATTTCTTTAGTTTCTTGCATTTCTCTTTCAGTGCATAATTATTATCGAGAGCAAAATACTGGTAACTATATTCACTATAATCATCATCTTTGTCTTTATCTATATCATATGAATCAAAATCATCAACGTCGTCATATTCATCGTAGCCACCATCAAATAAATACAGGTCGTAATATTTAGAATGAAGAACGTCTTTTAAAAGTAGAAATTCGTTTAGTTCGAGAGGTAGTTCTAGATTCTTATGCGCTTGGTGTATTATCAATCCAATCGTCTGTCTGATGACTCTCCCACATATAGATTTGAGAGATACATTATTACAAAATAAATTAAAAGTTTTTTTGTGGTGCGAGTAAAGTGATTCATCTTGATCTTCTTGCGTATCTTCCACATCAAAATTTAGAGTTGTCACAATTTCTTTCCTATGAGCCCCACTAAGATATAACAACTGACTTATGTCATCTCTTACTTGGTGGTTAAGTTCATCCAGACTAATAAGCTTCAAGCTACTTTCAACCGAGGACGTAACAAGAGTCTGGAGACAACAATTTTGAGCAACCAAATATCGAATAAAACTAACAACCATCATTGGTTCCCAGAATAATGGAAAACATACAGCTGTTTGAATAATTGTGTTACCGTTGATGCACGGCAAATCCAGAATTTTGTGATCCCCATTAGACATAATTAGTTTAAAGCATGTCAGATCAAATACACTTTTATCAAAATCAAGATACTGCAGAGCTGATCTTCCTAAATTATCGAAAACGTTAACCATTGCGCCAGCCTTAAGTAATTTCTTTACCAGAACTCTGTCGTTTTTCATAGCTGCAAACATCAAAACAGTTCTTCCCCATTTATCTTGTAAATTTACATCTATACCAGCAGCAAGTAAAATATCAACACACTTCATGTATATTGGATATCTCTGTTTGCAATATATATTAACATCATCATTTAACTGTCTCTTATTCAAACCATCTTTCAACATTGTAAATCCAATGACACAGAGGTGGAGGGCTGTATGGCCTTTGTTATTCTGTGCATTTATCTGTATTTTAGGAAGGGGTGTTAACAGTTCTAAATATTTACTGTTTAATAAAATTGCAGCTATCATTAAAGGTGTATTGGTTTTCGCGCACCGATGGTTTATATCCAGTTCTTTACTAAACAACCATTTAAATGCTTTTGACGAATAATCAAAATTTACTCGAGCCAGTAGATGTAGCATTGTTTCTCCTACAGATGTAGCACCACATATAATCAACTGGAATCCAATATAATAATAGAAAACATCTAACCTCTTACACTTGAGAATTTCATGAAATAATTTAATTCCATTGTTAGTTGACATCAGATCTGATCCAGATTGTACCAACAGTTTAAAGATACTAAAACAATCTAACAAGTGATACTGCACGCAGTAACTAAGTGCTGTATTACTATTTTCATCAGTAAGATTAATATCTGCACCATTTTGAATCAGATAAGATATGACCCGAATATCAGCTTGTTGTTTTATGAAAAACATAATTGGTGTCTCTAATAGTCTGTTCTGGTGATTCAGATTACAATCACCATCTTTTAAAATAGTTATCAGTTTATATTTTAAGTTCACCAACACATCCATCTCCTTAACTAGTGGAGATTGACGACTTGCCATGCCGAATAACGGTGTATTGCTCATTGACCTATCTGGCAAATTCACCTTGATTCCCATGTTTATTAATGTCTTCACAATCTTTATAAATTTATCATCACACCCACCACACAGCGACCTCAATACCCAATGGAGGATATTCCGTTTAACAAAATCAACAGACTGAATATTAGCACCGTGATCTATCAGACACATAATAACGTCTAACCATCCTTTATAAGCGGCTATTAATAGTGGTGGGTCTGTCGTTTCATACACATAGTTGACATCAATTCCAGCTTGAACTAATTTATCCACACATACTTGTAATAAAACAAGAAAACTTGTATCTTTCTGCATTCTAAAAAAACGGAAAAGACAAAGTAAGATATTATTCTGGTATTTATCAACAGAATGAATATCCGCACCATGATCTATCAGATATATCACAACGTCTATAAAACCTTGTCTAGCTGCCATTAATATAGGTCTATCTTTATCGCTATCGACATGATTCACATTGCCACCGGCATCAACTATTGTAGCTAGACATTGTAAAAACAATTTATGTCTAGTTTGTCCAAGAAATCTGTAATTAGTCAATAGATAGTGTAAAACACCGCGAGATTTAGTATCAATACAATTTACATCAGAACCATGGTCTATCAGATCTATCACAATTTTAAACCACCCTTTATCAACACCTGTCAAAATAACTACTGACTGTTCATGCAGTGATAAAGTATCTAGTACTTCAGGTATATCCCCGTCCTTTTTGGCCTGATTAAGTCTGGACCACAACCTGAAAAATACAAGTTTCCATTGCAGTGATACTTTTTCATTACTATTATCAACCCTAATAACAAGTAACAAAGGGTGCATTTGTAAAACGTCTGAAATCCAACAACGATGTACTGCTCAGAAGCGCTATTCAATTTGTACGAAAGAGACTAAATCATACATTAGCAAACAACACACCACACGAACACCGATTCGTGAAAGAAAATGCAAGTATGGTGACGACGTTATTTACAAAGCATTGCTCATACATAAAAACTTTAAATAAAAATACGTCGGTTTTAAAATCAGCTATATAAAAGAAATTTGTGGTACAAGTATGATTTGTGTTCTTAGGCGTATCCCAAATAATCACAAACTTTCTGTATATCACTAGAAGATCACTAACATACAAAGATGTTATTGTAGGCGTTCATTAGGGTTCTATACTAAGCAGCAAAAGAAACGTCCGGTTGGTATGTTACTCTGAATAGACGCATTGCATGAAACTTGTCAAATGTTTTTATTGTATATTTGTTACCACATCTCCAACTTTACCTGAGCAATAAGGCTCCTCCCCAAACACAGAATTGAACCGAGGAAATGTTCTCAAAAACGCAACCTGACTTCTGAAATGGTAATGTGTTTTCCGTGATTATCATGTAACTCATGCTGCATGTGCTGTTACTCGGGACTTTCTACAGCATAACGGTGTCAACGTTATGCACTGGCCAGCCTTTAGTCCGGACTTAAACCCGAGTGAACACCTTTGGGATTAAATTCAGAGGAGACTTAATAACGTCGTACCGAGACCAAACACAGCCGATGGATTGCGCCAGGCTTTTCTAAGAGGGTGGTCTGTTCACAAAAATTGCTTTGATCCATCTAGTAAGTCGTTTTCTGATTTGATTAAAATGTCTCTCTGATTTTGAAATCGCACTGACGTTTTGTTTTGCTGTTTAGTATATGTTTGACCGATTCGTAATAGAAAATGCCAGTATGGTGACGACGTTATTAACAAAGCCTTGCACATACATAAAAAAACTTGAAATAAAAATACATCGGTTTTAAAATCAGCTACTTAAAGGAAATTTATAGCAAAGTATGATTTGTGTTCTTAGGCGTATTCCAAATTCTGTATATCACTAGATTGTTGATATTTCTTTTAATTACTTGTAATGTTATTTTTAGAATGATTTTATGTACTGTCTATCATTGAATTATATAGGTAATTACTATATTGATGTAAAGCGGTTTGAGATGCTTTTATGTAAATCGCTATATTAAAAATAAATCATTAGCATTATCATTAGAAGATCACTAACATACAAAGCTGTTATTGTAGGCGTTCATTAGGGTTATAGGTTCGACCATTCTTATGTCTTTCATTTCACACGTGAAACGGAAACACAGTATGAAAAAAAAAGTAGAACAAATGTTTTTAATACTTTAAATTTTGATCTGGTTTTTATATATATACTATTGGTGTACATGTGACAGAGCTCAAATGGGCTATCTATGCCAACCTTTTTTCCTCCTCTTCATCCCACACTATTTTTCTTAGAACTGACATGCTTTTGGTTCTTTGTTATTTTCTACTATTTTTGGTGGCGGTGTTTCCATTCAAATTAACTGAAAACATTAAAAAAATGGAATATACATAACATTTAAAACAAAGCAATAATAAAATATTGATTTATAACGTCATGGAAAATGATCTGACCAAGGAAAGTAAAATGTTGTGTTTCTACACTGGACGATTCCCACTGCATTTGAAAATTCGCGGAAAGTTCAAATGGTGAACAATAATAAGATTATCGTATATTACAATTATTTTACCCATAAATAGATTCTAAATAAATATTTCAATTTTAATTTGTGAGAATAGATATGGTGTAATAGACAAAATCTCATTTAATACTGAATTGACTTACTTAATTTATTTAAAATGTATACATTGTGTTGTTATATTATCATTTATAGTTGGGTTGGCCTACTTTGCTACCAATTTGAACCAGTTAAAGATGCATTATGCAAGAGCTTAAGCTGCCTATTGCACATCTTACTTTCGACCTAAAATCGCGATCGCCATTTAATAATTTAATTAAAAAATGGATCATCGAGACTTTTTTTATTATCATAACAAATGTAGCAATGAAAATAGAGACTACGTTAATCTTCAAAGAGTCATAACTTCACTCAGAATGAAGTAATTGGACATGTCTAAACTATTTTAAACTGTTTATCTAAATCTTATTTAATGCATCTTAAAGTTCCTGGTCGTTATTTGAGGGTGTTTATCCCTTGCAAACTACAAAATGTGTTAATATTCGTCATCCTATGCAGACGATATAAACGGGAAATGGTCAAAGCAAGCCAGCGCCACCCACAATCTTCGTGAAAATCCTTAACGGGCTTCTGTTTAATGCAACTGAAATGAAGCTACGAGAGTATCTACCGTTGAGACCTTGATTTCTTATAATGAATCGAGTACATTTTAGCTTGGATTAAGCCGTGGCGATAAGCGGCTGTAAGTTGAATTTTAATAAACATGGCGCTCATTGAGAAATGCGCTGACTGACTAACCAGGAGTTCCAGGGTTGGATCTCGCTATTAACCTAGAAAGTTCCTCTGGATTTTCATGGTGGTTTCCCTATGTCAGTGGTGCAGGACGGTTGCCGTTTGAAAGTTCCGTGTTCACGTTGGTGTGCACATAAAAGAAAAATATTGGCAGTTTGAATTCGACGACGAGTAGTGGGAACCGCTGCTCTGGCAAAATTTCTTGAATAGCAGACTGCATGGCGTATGTTTTACTATTATAATGTGACAGTTCTCACAAGACTTTCTCTAAGAAGTCGGCTATCTCTCCTCATTTAATATTGCCACCCACAGTTAACATATACTGTCTCTTTCAATAATGTGTTTTATACTGTACAGATAAACACTTGTACATACTATTCTTTATAATTATGCCCATCATAGAATACACCAGTTCCTTCTAGTCTCATACACAAATGCGTATGCCGTATGGCGTTAAGCTCTATTTGACCTCATTTCAACGTCTAACAAACATGGCGTCATATTATCGTTCTTGATGGGCCGAGTATAAAGATTATCACTTGGAAACACTGAAACAATCTGAATTTTTCCAAAATGAGAACGCGAAAGCCTTCTTTGAACCAATTAAAGGTGACATCATGACCTAGAGGTCAATTGTGTTTCGTTGTATTGAACTCGTTATAATGAAATCACTAGGTTTATTAAAACTGTTTAATATACGACTATAAATATCCATTTTCATTTTTCATTTGTAATCAATGTAGGCTACGGTATGGTATAATCAAATGCAAACAAACTGTTAAACAACATAAATTGGTTTGTTTACATAGGCGTATCAATACTGATAACCCAATACTTTATTCAGTTTTAAATTCTGCATATAAATATGTTTAATCATTTGCAGTAAATTATATATATGGTTGCTTCAAATTTATCATAAAATTCTTCATTTTATCTTAAATAATTTGAAAATTACTTTAGAATTTTATCTGCAGCCAATGATTTACGTTAATGGTTTGTATTGTAAACGAATGTTGGTCTGGTCGGGCTGGATATATTATACTACTTGGTACATAGGCCAGGTTATCTAGTCTATACGTGAACACGGGGGAATTATCAACTAAATTGTTGTTTACACAGATCATTCTAATAAAAATTTACACTTTTGTTAAACGTAATATACATTTTACAATTCTGCACAATGACTAGGTCCTTCTCTCTATAAATGTATTTCAGTTTACTAAACTTCCGGATTTTAACATGTGTAATCAAGCTCTGTACACATTTGTAGTGCCCTGTACTGCTCTAACATAATGCTAATGAGAAGAATAAGATAACCACGAAAAGTGCGGAAATACACCCACATAGCAGCTGTAATGTTCAGCACCTATTTATGGCAATATAATGTGTCAGTTGATTATGTTCCAATTACTAAA